TAGCATTTTTTTTAATCATTATTTACTCAAAATCAATTTCTTATCCCGTAAGGTGATTTTAATAGCTTAGCCCCCATTTATACATTTATAATTTCTAAATAAATTTATTATATATATATTTTTTGTTTTATAATTATTTATAATTATTTCTTCTATATAAAATTATAATACATCAAGTTTTTTTTTTTTTATTATTTATCCTAATAGGTAGTCTGAAATAAAATAATGAGGGAGATATTTAAGCAAAAAAATACAAAATATGAATAAAATTTGAATTTTTATTAATAAATAAATTTTTTGTTTTTAATAGTATATAAGAAAACTTTCAAATTCTATTAATATATTTAATTTTTAACTTCTAGTGACTATTGAATTTTTGCTAATAATAGAGCATTTATTAACTTTGTATAAGTTTTAAATTATAATAAATATATAATCTATTTTGAAGTTTAAATAATGCTCAATTTGTAACTTTTTTTTATATATAATATCTTATAATTTTTTGCTTAATATATATAATCAGTTAGACAGTTGATATATATTATTATTAATTAATAAATCTCATATGTAATTAAACATTATGTATAGATTTTACCACCAAGTTTTCACCTTCACGTTTTTGGCCGGAATACGAAAGTAGAGGGTGTGACATATTATTTGAGGTCACGTGGGTTGAAGAACTTGGTTGGGTATATTAAGAACATAGTAAATCCTATGATCCGTGCGTAATATTGGATCATGTAACTAACACGACATTTTTTTAAAAAAGTTTAAACATTTTTGCTTCTAATGATTTCACGCACGATCTAATCCTGCTCTAAGACTCAATTTCAGAGGATAGGTATTATTTATAAAAAACATTCATTCTTAAAAGTGAAAGAAGTGAAAGCCACGAGGATATAAATATTCCCAATCGGGTATTATTAAATTTTTTTTTAGGGTAAGATCGTTATTTATTTGTTTCTGTAACACCATTACAATAAAAAACTTGCTGACGACCGATTTCCTTTTTTAGACATTTGATTTAGCTTGGATCACACGAATAACAAGTTTGCTGCGCACATCAAGAATTTTAGATATAAATTTATCCGTCAAAAACGGATCATTTCTTTCTTGTTTATTCATCCTTGTATTAATGAATAATCATAATGAATAAAAACGAAGGTTTTACTACCAAACCTAATCCAATTTCTGATCTCAAACCTAGTGGTGAGGATATTGTTGACAACAATATACCTGCTATCTCATCAACCATGAATAATGATAACCAGTCTCGCCAAGTGGTTAATGAGCCAAATATTCCATTTCGGAATAAACGCAAAGGAAAACATAAAGTCATTCCCAACTCTGATGACTTTGTTGATAATAATGTAACTTTTACCGTGAATAATGACCAATCAACCAACACCCTTCAAGCTCAAAATGCCCAAAATGAGGACGAGAGTAAAAATGCTACCAAAGAACATGTTCATATCGTAAGTGATCGGGCCACCGACGTGGATTCTAATACAGAACGACGCCTTACCAATATGGATTGTGATCCGATTCAGGCTAGTTCAAAAGTTAGGACGCGTGAGAATGATTTAGAACGAGAACGACAAGATTTTAAAAAAGTGAAATTGATAAATGATTTTGAAGAACAACAACCTACTAAAACGACAGCCATTCCGGTTCAGCCTAAATTAAAGGATTTTAGGATGCGGGAGCATGAACTAGATCGAGAACGACACGCTGTTAAAAAAGTGAAACTAGCAAATCATTCTGGTGAAGATTCAAGAATTCAGCACGGTTCTACATCACAAAATGTTGGCAATCCTTCTACCCAAAATACGTCTTCTATTATAGTAGAGGGCATCAAGAAGAGTTTTTCCATGTTTAGAAGCTTCCTCAAATCTGATGAAGTTACAGAGAATAAAGTCGTAGAAATCATTTTTCATGTACACTTACCTACGAGCTTTCGTTCAGAGAATCCTGTTATTGTTGGTAGTATAGAGGAACTTGGTAATTGGCAAGAACCCAAAGTTAAACTTCAGCAATATACCAAAGGTATTTCGGAACCTACTTCTTATTGGTATTCACAACCTATTTACATCCCAATCGAAAGATTTCAACAAAACGGTGTCGGATATAAGTATGGAGTATATTCGGACGATTGCTTACGATTGGAAGGTGACGGCACGGAGGATAATCGTGTGCTGGAAATTCAACGTCATAAATTTGATATTTGGAAAAGTAATTCAACTTATAGTATAAATCAAATCACTGATTATATGTTTCTAGATGTCATTTATGATTCCGTAACGTCAGAAAACATCAAGGAGATTATTTTATATTATGATGATATCCTAAAACAGTATCGTAAATTAACTTTATCAGTAACGAATGTTCAATTTATTAGCAAACATGTATCTGAAAATTCTATTGGTAGACGGCTTTTCTTATGCTTCCTTTTGGGACATTGTTCTAATTCTCGCGTGAGATTTGAATTGCCAAGAAACTTTCAATCGGTTCCTTTGCTTCAAGCTTTTATCAATGTTCAATCAGAAACATTTCCAGCTGATAGTTGGCATATTGTGTTTAAAGGAATTGATCATTTAATTCATCACAATATTAATCATGGATTATTCGATTGGCTTACCTTCTTTACCGTTGCACGAAATTTCGATCCTCAACTTAAGTTCATTGACACATTAACTTTTGTTAAATGTGACGATGACAAATATATCGAAAAGTGTTTTGGAATTATACTGAATCATAAATTTGATAAAAATACTCGTGGAAAAGTATTCAAGGTAATTTTTTTTTTTTGTCATATCCTTATATTATTCTCTTTCTGATCGTATTTATTAGTCAATCATATTAATAAATTTTTTTTTTTAAAAAAAATTATGACTAGTGGATGATGAATCAATGCAAAAACTTGAATATTTTATCAATCGTTTGGCGATCTTCAGATAAAATTGACAAGCAATGTTTGGTAGAAAATGTTGAAAAAATTATATCTAAAGATGACCCTGTAGATTTGCATAAAAAGTTCACCGAGCTTTCTGATGACATTAGAGATATGGTCGTCGACCAATTTAGGAAGAGGGTACTTAAATTATTAACCAATGGTCGTCGTGCTATTTGGGATGACTCAAAATCCCAAACGATCTTTGATCTCTTAACTTCTGTACAACTACGGTGGACGAAAGATGAATATATTGTTGTGTTGGAATTAGTGTCGACCTTAGAAGATTATCAACTATTAGACGGATTTCCGTCATTATTAAAAAATTGGATCAAGATTTCAAATTTCGATAATAATGGCGTGTTTCCATCATTATTGAAAAATTGGATCGAAATTCCTAAAGAAATTGATAATAAAATAATTCAAATATGCATCCAATGGTACAACAAGCTTTTGGATCGAATGACATCGCCCAATTCGACGTCTCATAAGGGAGAATACGTAACCGCAGTTATTGAGAAATTGTCAAACTTCTGTTCATTAGTTAATGAGCAATTCATCTTGGATGCGTTGATGGAAATAACACTCAATCGTATTAGACAGTCCTCAGAACTTTCTATTTTTAATGCTACAACCAATGTTGGACAATTTTGTTCAGAAGCGGTGCGTGCGTTTACAATAGTTATTGAGGAAAAGATTGATTCAATGGATCTAGAACACTATGAACTTTTACTAAAGAAAATGCAAGTCATTTGTGGTTGCTCTGACAAAAGTTTAGAGATTCCAAATGAGTAAGCGATTAATCAATTTTATATGCACATTTACCTTTTTTTTGTTATAAAATCTTTCATATTAATCAAATTTATATGTTTTTATGCTTAGATTTTGTGAAACAATCATATGTCACATCTTGTCTTGTTTGCAACAGAATCCTTCCAATACTTATTCGCTTGAGTCCGCCAAATTCTGGATTGTAATTTTACGAGCAACTGGCAGTACCAAAAAATTTTATTCTCATCAACTTGTACTTGAAACTAGAACATCTATTCTCGAGTTAGCTGATACGATAAACAACAGTTCTATTAATGTTCAGCTTCTCCAGAAATTGCTTAACCTTGATAATGATACGCTTCATTATTATTTAAATTCTGCAAATTTTAATGATGTAGAAATCATTTCCAAGGAGAAATTGGTTAAAGTTCGTCAGAATTGTCATTTCTATGAACAAAGGTTAAAAAAACTTGACGATTTTTATATGAGATTTTGTCCACTACAAAAAACCAAGGATGTGCAAAATTATCTTGATGAATTGAGAGAACGAAGCAAGCGACTTAATAAAATCTCACTAGAAGAGTCATTGTCAGAAGATCACTGGAGATTCCATGACGAAACTTTGTCAATATCAGAGAGTACACATGAGTTGAACAAATCTCAAACATTTTATAATGTTTTTGAGAAACTATTAAATGAAGAAATTGAAATTGTCAAAGCTACAGACGTTGAATTTATAGCACAAATGTTAATCGAGGATGCCTTAAAAGAATACACTGCTAAGTGTAAGCAATATAACAAATGGGAAAGTCTCATATATTCTGAAGAAACGTTATTTTGGTGTAACGTTTCAAATATTGAAGATGAGCTCAATTTAATGGAAAAATATAGCAATACTCATATAAGCAGAAGTAAAGTGTTCATGATGACGATGGAATTTCTATCCAGAAATAAGGATTGGAAAGAACGTATGGAAGATTTATCAAAGGTTCTCGAGATTTTTTATATCGAAGAAAGATGGCTTAACGACTTGTTTAATCACGGAGATTTAAGGAATTTAAAAAACTCAATCAAAACTATAAATCAAAAATTTTCTCAATTCAATAATAATAGCTGGGCTTTTATCAAGGAATTGTCTCGATCTGATGAATTTGTTGAATTCCTAAGAGGTAAAACGGACGACGATTTGAAGAATTTGATTAATGGTGTCGATGAACACTCAGATACCAGATTGATTCAAGAAGGCACTATTTCTTCCCTTATTCAAATCAAGCAATCCTTACATCCGTTCATGAATGATCAAAATTTAACTTTGGAAACATTAATAGAAGGATTAAATGTTACCATCAAAAACCCTTCATTAATAAGTAAATTATCGTTATGTAATTGTAACGTTATGGCTTTGAAAAATATGTACGAATCCATCTATAACAAGGGTGAAGTTACAAAGGAAAAGATCCAAAATGCTGTAACTGTTGGTACATATGAATTTGCTAAAAATGAAGATGAAGAAGACTGCATCTTGACATTGTCATATTCTTCTAAATTAGAAATCATGAGGTACAATATAAATGAGCTACAGGACTTGCGCAGCAGAGCACTTTTAATTTCAAAGCCCGGCGTTTCTTTTGGAGTTGATGATGATGCTGATGATAATGGCAAAATGGAGGAATTTGTAATGCAAGTTGACATTGCTCAAAGTATAATTATAATCATGAAAAAGTTAACTCAATTAGGACATTTCGGATATCGAAAATATAACGAATCAGTAAAAGGTACTTATAACTTAGAGAAAATAGCAAAGCGATTGAGAGGTGACTTGGATATCTGGTAAATATATATTTAGTTATTTTTTTTGGAGAATAGACTTGGTTATTATATGTGTTATTACTAATACAATTATAACATATCACTTTCAGGGAGAATATTGTTAACCAAACACAAGAAACTTGTTATTACCTAAATTTTTATCCAGCAAGGCACATATTGGCATTTTATGACTATTACACGGGAAACGGCGAAATGAGAGAAACTTGTCAAACACTTGTATCATTCGTTAATCGAAAAGCCAAATTACCACCACTACGTGATCAAAGATTTAATTATGAAAAAGATGAATACGATCAAGCTTTAGAATCAATTAATCATAAACTAGGTTGCATATTTGGAACCCTTGAGAAACATGCACGGCCAATGAGAAATTCCGAAGGACGCGTAATATCAGATACCGTGAAATGTGGAGAATTATTTGTCGCGGCTTGTGATGACAAATCAAAAGTTCCTAACATCATAATGTCGTTTTATGCCAATCATGGATTTTATCCCGAACCTTGGCAACTTTTGATATGTATGACATCTACTACAGAAGAAGAACTTTCGATCTTTATCAAACGATGCTTTTTTGCATCAAAAAATGGTTATAAAGGTCATTTATTCTGCATTGCGAATTTGGAATTATTAGATTTTGAATTACAATACTATCTCGTGAATAAGATTAGATTTTTTACGAAAAAGATAAAAGATTATTATTTAGCGTTAATATGTTGTTCTGAAGCTGGCATGGATCATCATATTGTGGACCAATTTTCTAAATATGTTCACGCTACTGATGGACTTGGTACTGTTGCAATGAAGGCCATTTATCGCCAATTATGTCCAAAGGTTACGTGCGTAACTTCAGATTTATCCGGACAAGGAAAAACAAAATTTATTGAGCAGGAGAGTTATAAATATAACAAAACCTTGGTTTCATTTCTTATTAGTGATGGAACGAGTTATAATTCACTGATTAGACAACTTAAAATTTCTCAAATTCAACAATATGATGATAGTCTTCATATAAACATAATATCTGCTGATAATCATGGAGAAGTGAATATATTCTTGTTTCAATTATTAACTCTGGGAATCATTTCAAACAACTCGGATATATCTAGACTTCCAGAAACCTATATTTTTATTGAATTAGCTGCTGACCGCTTGCTCAAATCCCTCCCATTCCTTAATTGTTTAAACAACGTGCATTTGGTATGGAATATTGATAGATTGATGGTTTCCAAAGATATACACAGCCCAATTCAAATTGTTTGCCGTTACTTGGATCTTTATGATAGGAAGAAGCTTGATAAGCAAGATATTATATTTGCATCACGTGGCATTAGGGTGCCACTTGATCAAGTGTCTTGTCAACAACTTTTGGACAAATATTTCTTTCAAAAGATTGATTATAATATTCAATCTTTTCGATTTTTGGAGATTTTTGTAAATGTTCTTGCTGATCAATTATTAAGGTTATCAGGAAGTTCTTTTTTCACGGTTAAAAATTTGAAATTTATGACTAACAATGTTAATATTCGATCAACATTATTTGAAACATTACTGGCTGTTTCGAGTGATTTTGCTACAAAATCAACCGAAACAAAATCTGCACAATTACAAAATATTACAGACAAAGCCGCTGAAGTGGATCAATTAGAGAATCTTGTCCAATGGGATGATTCTAATCATCTTTTGGTATTTTTCCTGTCTCAATCCCCTGAATCTATAAGTGCTTTATATCGTAGCAAAATCATAGTTCCAAATAACGTTTTAGAATTGTTAAATAGCCAAGGTTGGGAACTATTAGATTATCAATCCATGTCATCGGATCGATTATTAACCATATTAGAAAGTTTGGCTCGGAATACAATGCATACAATTATTTATCAACCATATGCTTTATCGGCGGATAATTTATTGAAAATGGCATTGATGTTATTGAGAACAAGAGCCAATATTCCTGTAGTTATTTGTGGAGAGGCGGGATGCGGAAAGGTATTGTATATACTTATACTATCTTATATTTGTTTATTTCCTTACCGAGTAATTTTTCATAATTTTTATATATCCTTTTATAGACAAGCTTGATCGGTTTCTTGGCCAATGTTGTGGAAGTAGAATTCAACGCACTTAACCTTCATGCTGGTATCACAGAAAAAGCTATCAAGGATTTTATGAATAAATATGATGAAAAGGCCGCAACTAGAGAGATTTGGTTGTTTTTTGATGAAATAAACACTTGTAATCACATAGGATTATTGGCAGAGCTTATTGCTCATCGGAGGCTTGATGGAAAGCTAATTCATCCAAATATTCGACTATTTGCCGCCTGTAATCCATATCGTATTCGGAATAGAAGTGTAAGTACTGTTGGATTGAAACCAAAAAAGATCACATTCGAACAACGGAGTCGCCTCGTTTATGAAGTTAAACCCCTTCCGAATCAAATCTTAGATTACGTATGGGATTACGGTACGCTTCAATCGAAGGATGAAAAGAATTATATTCAAATAATGGTGCAAGAGGCGAAATTAGATTATATCTTTGCTGAATTATTATTTGCATCGCAAGATTTTATTCGTAATGTCGAAGAACCTTATAGTGTCAGTTTGCGTGATGTTAAAAGAGCCATTAAATTGGTCGACTTTTTCTATAAAAATCTTCTAACGCGGCTAAATGAGGGGAAAGAGTATCCCGATGATGAGCTGGATATTTATTTTCGATCTTATATCTTGTCATTAGGATTATGTTATCAATCTCGCTTATATGAACGTGAGTTAAGGCGAAAGTACCGTGAAACGATGTGTAATATAATTGGAAATATGGAAGAAGCTCGTTTTAATGAAATAATTAGAGATGAACAAATGGATTATATGAAAAGAATGATTTGTCCACCAAATACTGCATTCAATGAAGCATTATTGGAGAACGTATTGGCTGCTATTGTTTGCATAATGTGTAAAATACCACTATTCATTGTTGGTGCTCCAGGCTCTTCAAAATCACTAGCGATCCGACTCGTACATCAGAATCTTAGGGGTTCTGATTCAAGTGACGCATATTTTAGAACACT